TCCAATCGTCCCGCGGAAGGTAAACCCAAAAGAAGCTCGCCCCACTCTGACTCATAGTCACCCTACACAGGATTTGCCAGGCTTTAGGCTCATCTTTCCCTCTTGAAGGTTCTGGTGCTTTGAACCTCTGACCTTGCATTACTACATTATAAGGATTATAGCGAAAAAAATAAATTAAAAAAAAAAACCTCACAGAGAAGTTCTACTATGTAATACTTGGAACTACTCTGTAATACTTGGAATCACCATGAGTCTAAATTGACTCATGGCAACTAATAACATGTTGTATAATGTTAAGTGAAAGAGTATATAAGTCAATTTCATAGTATAAATTATATAGAAAAGTCCAGTACCATTAAAACCATTATGAATTCAACATTAAAGTGAAAATAACTTTCTTCCTCTTATATTGGTGAGTCCTTAACTGAAAAAGCATGAAACGCCTTTATACCATGAAAATTTGCGTACCTTGATGTGACAGTAGTTATGCTTTAATGCCTTTAGCGTAGACAGGTTAGAGAATGTCTGTAGAAACACATACCACTTCCTGATTCCTCACAGCTCCCGAGGTCTTCAGGTCACAGAATGGATGTCACTGATCTGAATGTCCAAGAAGAGACTCAACAAGTCAGAGGAGTGAGGAGGCTCAGAAATAAATTAGTACAATCTAGTAAGTCATTCACCAATATGTAAGTCATAAGTATAACTCTGCTAGGTACTGGCTCCTCCCCTTTCACCACAAACTCATTTTAGAGTACTGCTAGGAGAAAAGCTTTTTCAAAATGTGAATAAATCCAGTAGAGAGGCACACTTAAGCTTTTAACCTCTAAATAATTCAAGTATTGTCTAAATATAAATTATTATTTGGATGATGCACAGAATGGGAGAATAGTTTTGAAAGCCATAGAGATGATAAAAATAAATAACTAAAACTTTTAACCAGAATATTTAAATTCAAATAACTCAACAATTTAAAAAGGCAGCTCAACTGAAAAATGTACAAAGGATTTTCAGGAATATTTATCCAAAAAGATATATAAATGTCAATAAACACATGAGAAAATCATTAGTCAACGTCACAAGTCATTAGGGAACAGCAAATCAAAACCACAATGAAATGCCACTTCACATCCACCGTAAAAGGAACACAAACAAGTAATAACAAGGGTTGGTGATAATATGGAGATGTTGGAACCCTCATACATTTCCAGTAAGAAACGTAAAATGCTACAACCACTTTAGGAACCAGTGTGGCGTCCTTCACATTGCAAGCCATGGCATTACCATACGACACTACAATTCCACTCTCGATACAGAGGCGTAAGAAAGGAATACATTTGTCTATACAAATTT